CCGCCTTTCCATCTGAGGAAGTAGACTTCACCCTAGGAAAACTCATGCTGCCAACTTCTTCTTTCTTCCATAGTGGTACAATTTAAAGATAAGGGCCGTGCTAGTAATCTGTGGAATCAGTATATAGAGAGATCTTGCAGTCCCTTTGAGACTTAACTGAAAGAAAGAAATCTTCTTTTGAGTGAGTCTCAATGGGGCTACAAAATCTCTCTGCAGACTCATTTTACAGACTAGCACTGCTGTGTCTTTGAATTCTACTCCTTGGGGAAGTCACACACTCTCAGCTTCAGAGGAAGAAGGCCCTAGCAAACACCTTCCCTCTGAGCAAACTGTGCCAAAGAAGACCCCAGGATAGCTTTGCCGTGGCATTGCCAAAAGTTGGGAAGGACTTGAAGGCACACAACAACAACAAGGGCATCTCCCCTTTCCATGAGCACACACCAAGCCCATTGGAAAGGATTTGGAGGCAAACAACAACAACAATTCGAGGGTTTGCTGAGGTCCTTTTAACCACCTCAAGCTCTGAGTCCCTTGTTTCTCAGGCTGTGAACGTAACTAGTCTTCAGAAACATTCCACAAGTTTTTGTTGTCAGACCTCAAAGAAAGAAGAGAGAATACTTTTAGAATTATATATATATATATAAAGAAAGAAAGAAAGAAAGAAAGAAAGAAAGAAAGGAAAAGAAAAGAAAAGCCTTCCTATGATTCCACTCCAAAAGGTATCATAGTTTGGACCTATAACATACAACCCTATACAGTGGGCTCTTGGTATCCTCCAGAGTTTGGTTTGGAGAGAAAGAAAGGAAGTTAGATGAAGATACTTTGCAAAAAAAAAAAAAAAAAAAATAAGAGATTGTTATGAGAAATATGTATGCAGTGGACATTCAGTATCCACAGGGATTTGGTTCCAGGTTCCTAACCTCCTCGAACCCTGCTAATGATGCCACTGTTAGAAGGATCTATGCTCTCCCCCTATTTGCAGTGAGGGCTGGCTGCCAAGTAGACACATTTCTTGAAGGCGAACAGCAAACATAGTGTTATTCAATGTGCTTCTTAGTCATGCTCCAAATGGAAGCCATTTTGGAATTCCTCTTGGACAGAAGGTTGAAATGTAGGACATGTCCTGGAAAAAGAGAACCTGTATGGGAGTACCATGCCAAACCCATGTTAAACTTGACCTGGAAGTCTCTGGACTCTTCTCACAAGTACCCACAACCAACACTTTCACTCTTCCCTGGCCTTGTGGTGTCCTTTGTCTCATCCAACTCCCTTGGCTCCTTTCTCTTTTTTCCTGTCGTGCCTTAGGAGTTTATTGCATGTCATTTAAATCAACTTACCCCAATTGCGTTTAATTCTGAAGCCAGATCTTACGGAACACACTGGGAGTTTTCCATTTTTGAAAAGATGCCAGCTAAGCATGGCTGGGGTCCGGGATGCAGCTGGGTTACACTCACCTGGCTCCTGGTGCATGCAATAGAGTCCGGCTTCAGAATTAAACACGACCGGGGTAAGTCAATTTAAATAACGTGCAATAAACTCCTTAGTTCCCCTCTCCGTTCCTTTTCTTTCTGCTCTTTCTCCTCCTTTGCTTTTTCTCTCTTTTGTGCAATTGGAGGGCATGTATGGCTGAATATGTCATCAAAGCTTCACAATGAGATCCCAAAGCTTTTACAGCAGGCAGAGCATATGGTGCAGCAGTCTTAGGGAAATGTATAAGAAAATGTATATGGAGGTGTTTTGAACAACTTGGTATTGATTTGCCATGCTTGGACTCGACATAGTGTGTATGTGTACCTTCAAGTTACCTGTCGACTTATGGCAAGCCCATGAATTCCATAGGGTTTCTTAGACAAGGAGTATTCAGAGGTGACTTTGCC